GGATATAGCTCGCTAGCAGCCTCGCACCGATGACCTATTCACTTCATCATTTACCCAGAATGCTTTGTGTGTAAATAAAATGGCTCTGTCCATGTTAAATTATATTTTAAATATTTACAAAACTAAACAGCCTACAGTATTTTTTCAGTCTTTATTTTACAGTTAAAATATATGTTTATTAAATAAAGCCTAATGTGACAACTAATTGGGGATCCCTTTATAGATGTTTTTTCTTTGACTTGTATTTGAAGGATATGAATGACACAGACACTTTAAGTTGTTAATCAAAACATAAACCTCAAACCATGGCAACAGCAGGTTTTCTACAGCTGAAAATGCCTCTTTAATCCCGTTCAAGCCCTTGTGCTGTGACACAACAGAGCTATAAATGATCACTAGTGTCAGACTCGATGCGTTAACATCTGTGTTTCTATATGCATCCGCAGTAATCCTCACTTGTCTTCGTGTCTCTGGGCTTTTTGACATGCAAATGGCCGCCGACTTGTCTTCATTACGATCCCTTCTGCTCAGAGTTGCAGGCCGTGGCGAGTCGTCACCGGCTCGCACCGTGAAATCCTCATTAAATAAGTCAGGATGGATGCCACGCCGTCGTCTCCCGTCACCTCAAGTCTGATCCCAGGGGCTGCTTGTCTTCATTAGTCGCTGCCATTTTCTTCATGGCGACAAGGGAATATTTGAATAATCTGTGTCCAAGATGCATGACTCTTTTTGTGTTTCAAGAGGGTTTAGTGCCGTAAGTCCACCTAAAGAGTTTATTTTTCTAGTGATAGCACAAAATGTACACATTTAGTGTCAATCATTCTAGTTCTAGGTCTTTTTAGGCCTGGAAGAGATAAAACGTGGAGCAGTGACTGCTAGAGATAGGCACCATCCCCCTGCGACTCAGAAACAAAAAACAAGTAAAGAAAATGGATGAATTTAATTCTACGTCTGTGTTCGGATGTTGAAAATCTTTCGAGGAACTCAGTTCTTCTTTTTGTGAAACCTCTCAAAGCACCCGAGGACTGTTTGCTGGGGCCGCGGTTTTTGTAATCCTGAAGCTGAGTTTGAGCCCAGGTTGCGTCAGGAAGGACATTCGACTTAACTGCAGCTAAAGCCTCAAATTAACTGGACAGTAGCTAAAAGGAGCTAAAGAAGAGAACGCTGAAGTAGATTTTAAAAGACAATGTCTTTGAAAAATTAATGGGGTCTCACATGTAAATCAGGGGCGGAKCCAGAAGGGTGGCCAGGTTGGCAAGAACCACCTCTGACACCTGACTGGCCACCCCAGGTACCACCCCCAAATAACTGAAAAGTGGATGGGAATCTTGGATTATGTATTTGCATTTAGTAATTAAATTATCAGCTGTGTATGTTTAAAAAATGTCTGGGTTTTAGCTTTTTGTAAAATTATATTTAGCATTAGTGGTTAGCATAATCTGGGATTAGCATTGACAATCAGTATGTGATCATTCTTAGCTCCTCCACAGCAAATTCCATCACAATTAGTCTTAAAAGGGCTCAGTTATAGCCTTTTAAAGCTAGCTGTGGTGGCCATCTTGAATTGTTTAGAATTTGGTAAAGATTGTTTTTGGCTACTTCAACACTAGGGGTGTAAGAAAATATCGATACACTGAACTATCGCGATATTTCATTTCCCGATACTGTATCGATATTCTAAAGCCCTGTATCGATTTTTAATTAAGGTTTAAAATGTCATCCTTCTTGCCAACCATTCATTTTTATG